CCTACAGATTTAGTACATGCCTTCAGCTAACATTAATAGGTACCACGGCGTTAAAAAGTTAAGAAAACAAAAACCCACCTTGCACTTAATTCTGAAGATGTTTTATACAATTTTACAGAACCGAAAACACTCCCTGAAAAATATTACTGAAATGCTCTTCCTTTGGAGAAGGACAGAGGATGCGATTTGTTTGCCTGTTTTATGAAAAATCATAGAGATATCATACAGAAAAGTTTGTAAATTAAAATCAGTCATTGCATACAAGGTGAATCAAGGATCTGTAGAGGAAATGATTTACTTGGCAAGGGGGGATCAAGCATACGTTTAAATATATATAAAGTATGGTGTATAAATACATACGTATTGTTAGCTATTGCAGCTCCCAAAATGGAGACTACTTTTTCCAGCTGAGTACTAAGACAGGCACCTAATGTCAGATGCAACATTACTATATGAACATCCTCTGCTTGATGCCCTAGAAGCCTTGTGCTTTAACGAACATTTATGCTTCAGACTAATTCAAGCATTTCAATGGAGACAAACACCACAAGAATCTACTGCAGAAATCACTTTAAAACAGATGTAGACTTATAAAATGTTTAGGCACTTCTGTAAATTTTATTGAGGGCTCATTTCCCTAGCGAGCCAGGTTGATTTCACTCATTTATACTTCTACCAGTTACACATGGTGAAATCTAGAGCTCCATGACCTATTCAACGTAACTCGCACCTGTCCCTTAGGAAACTATTGCAGGTTAGTAAATCTCACTGTCATATAGATATTCCTGTTAGCTGGATAGCACTATCCTGTTCCTCATTTTGCCCTTCATTCCTATTTATAACCCTTAGCAACAGGTTTATTAAAAGGTTCTTGTTTTGTTTTGTGGGGTTTTTTTGGTGGGGGTTTAAAACTTCCTTTTTGTAAATAGGAATCTCTGCTCCAGCTTCCCCATGACTTTGTTTGCTGTCCCCAGGCTAACTTCTTACTAGAAAGAGACAGATGAGGTATCATTTCTTAGTTATCCAGTAGAACCATACTGGAGAAGGAATATTTATTCCCTACGCGTGTGCCTCTACCACATGAAGTAGAGAACATGCAGGCAAATACAGACATCCATGTGGATAGGGCTTCATGGAACTGCAAGGGCTAATGGGGGCTGCTAGGGAGGGTTCAAGAGAAATTAAATTAAAAAGATTACATGGCATTTAGTTGGGAGCAGCAGCAAACTATTCTAGGAAAATGCAAAAATAACAATTGTGTTATGCCTGTATTTAGGCAGTTTGTTCTCTTGGGCCTAACCCTATACGTACATGAAGCTTTTGTTGATTTCAATGGGTGTTATCAGTTTCTGAGGTCCACAGTGCCAGCCCCGCTGTAATTCTCATAAGGAATTATAGATTTATTTTTGGAGACAGCAATGCTAGACTAAGTCAGTTCCAGCCAGGATTAAAATCTCACTTTTCTAGGATGCCCTACTTATCATTAAAATCTAAACAGCTTGATTGAAAGGGAGTTAATAACTGTGTTCCCTCCAACTTGAGAAAACAGTATTTTGTGGTCAATAAGAGTTGTGCCAACACCAGACTGCATGCATCTACCAGATCATCAGCCTGGTGAGGCCGCACCTGGAATGCTGTGTCCAGTTTTGGGCCCCTCACTACAAGAAGGACACTGAGGTGCTGGAGCGTGTCCAGAGAAGGGCAGCGGAGCTGGGGCAGGGTCTGGAGCACAGGGCTGGTGGGGAGCGGCTGAGGGAGCTGGGGGTGTTCAGCCTGGAGAAGAGGAGGCTGAGGGGAGACCTGATCGCTCTCTACAGCTGCCTGAAAGGAGGGGGCAGGGAGGGGGTGTTGAGCTCTTCTCCCAAGTAGTTACCGATAGGACGAAAGGAAATGGGCTCAAGCTGCGCCAGGGGAGGTTTAGGTTGGAAATTAGGAAACATTTCTTCACGGAAAGGGTAGTCAAGCATTGGAACAGGCTGCCCAGAGAGGTGGTGGAGTCCCCATCCCTGGAAGTATTTAAAAAACAGGCAGATGTGGCACTTGGGGACATGGTTTAGTCTAGTCTACCCTCGATTGGCTTAGAGTAGACTTGGTAGTGTAGGTTAATGGTTGGACTGGATGATCTTAAAGGTCTTTTCCAACCTAAACGATTCTATGATTCTATCACGTAAACCCGTTCTATTAAAATCTGCATTTATTTCATTTGAGCCTAAGATACCACTGTCAGTAAGTGCTGCCAAGTGATCCTACAGCCAGAGTCAAGCCTCAGGACACCAGTCTTGAGCAGCCCTTGTTTCCCACAGATTTCCTAGGATCCAGTGTTGAGAGACAGAATACTGTCCTGCAGGGCTAAGGCAACTGGAAACATTGCTCCTACATTACACACACACACACACACACACACACAAAAAAAAAAAAAAAAAAAAAGTACCTTGGAGTGCCACAGAATTCCCAACAAGCCTGTTCTAGCCACAGTTTCTATCACATCATGTATGTCACACATCAAGCAAGTTGAAGATTGCATTTAAGTGCAATCAGGTCCTACATGCACCCTCCTGCATCAGCTGGCCCTCAGTAATAACTCACATAAAGTATACAGTAAACAGAAAAGTGTAGGAAGCAACAGTTTAAGTGACTCAGCACACAGGATGCAGGCAGGGATTCCAACAGCCGCTGCAAGCAGCACTGAGGTTAATGCAGCTTTCTCACCAGCGCTGGGCACAGCTCTGCCTCAAAGCAGCAGTACTCAAAATCCAATTTAATTTTCGGACACATCCTACAATTGACGAAACTATATAGGGAAAAAGCCAAAAAAACCCTAACATGGAAATCAGACAGCTCAAGGAATCTAAATTACAAATGGAAAATTCATGGTTAATCAAAAACCTTCTGTGCATGTGTTTTTTCCCTGTTGAAAGGGTTTTTCCAAGGAGCCCTGAGTCCCACTTCTTCCCCAAGGCAGCAACTGGATTTATATTCCTGAGTTAGACTGAAGAGAGTAAAAAGAGCGCAAGGAAGTTTGCATGGTTTACAACCTCTAGCCTGCAAACATGAACTTATCTCCGTGAATATTTTTTTTTCCACCAGGAATATTTTAGAGAGCTCTGATGACTTTCAGATGCCACCTTTCATCTTGTAAAGCAGCTGCAGGAAGCAATCAGTGCGTACAGCCGTATTTTTCAACACTTGAAAACACAGCCGAGAGATCCACTCACCTGTACACATGCAATACACCCATTTATAAACCACTGCTGCACAGAAAGGGCTCCACAGGCACTAAACAGGTCAGGACCTAAATATGTAAGCCCTGGATTGCCCCGACAACAGCAGTTCTAAATAGGTAGCAGGTCTCCTGAAACACTGACCAGGCATCAGCAACACATGGCCTGCCTTTCCAGTCCCGCTCCTACCCCACACACCCTCACCAGCTGAAATGCAAGTTCACTACCACAATTACCCAAGTTCCTTGTAAACTCCAGACATAGCATTGCATCACTAACTCCCTAGAGATTTCCCCCTACACAACCTTATTTACAGAAACTTTTCACCATTTATACCCCCTCCCAGAATTTATGCAACGTCACGACCCCAGAAATCAGGGCTATTGAAATAAAACTATAGCACTTCTGACTGGGGCCTTTTGCATGAGTCTGTAATATGTGTGCTTTGATATCGCTCTTTTGCTTTGTCGAGGACAAACACACCACCGGACCCACTTATAAATATTAACCTGTTACAGGTAGCAACTGAGATCCTCTACGTATTTGTTGGGTGGACTAATAAAATGGGACATTGACTTAAAACCAAACTCATTAAGAACAATCTCAAGACACAAATGGTTTTTAGCATTTCTTTCAGTGGCACTCACCACTGTCAGGTTGCCTTATGCTAGATACAGCACAAGAATGTGGATCACACCTGTGGCATCAAGACAAATACAGTAAATGATTGAATAGCCTAACTTTTAAAGTACGCTTAATGTCTGTATTTTTCCCCCCATCAGAAAAAGGCCTTGCGAGAAAAATGGCTCTTGGATGGCCTTAGTTCTCTCACTCCAAAAGAGCAAGAAGAAATGCAAAGGCAGAATCAGGAGGACCAACAACGGACTCACGAGCTGGAACAAGACATTTTCAGGTAGGGCAGTAACCCTGCCCTTCTGTCTGGGTTAAAATGGTCCCTTCTTAAAAGTCCTACCTTGTTTTGTAAAAGAGTAAAATGTCAGCAAGGGCTAAACATATGCAGTTTGATACACAGAGTAAAGTTATCTTTGTTATATTTTCTGGTCAGCTAGAAAAAGAGAATGCACAAAGAAAGCTTCCGTGCCATGAATTTTATCAAACTGCACAATAAATATTTTGCAGAGTATTTGATTCTCTAATTCCAGATACCCTTTTCCTGCTATACTCAATAGATGCAAGCTGCACTATACAGGTTTTGCTCCAAGATAGCAATTGTTGAATCAGAATTACAAAATAACAGTAAATAGTTTTAAAAGTTCTTCAGTTTCACTAGGTCCTGCACAGCCTTTAATACCCGACCTCTACCATAACACGGCACTTGAGAACAGCCCAAGCTGCCTAGCCCCATTAGTATCGCTTGCCTTATTTTCACTTATCTTCCATGCTGGCTTGTCCTCAGTTTATTCCCAGAAGCTTGTTATAGCAAAGGCCTTTTTCTACCTTTTATTAGAGATGTTCCTGCAAATCTCGTTGCCTAGTGCCTCCCTACCACATATGGCTAGCATCAGATTGCACAGACATTCTCCCATACGACTCCTTTATTTACTATGGACATGATCCGAGGTGCTTATTAGCTGCAGTTGGCCCTTCCCAAGTACCACAGGGCTCTGTACACAACCAGCTCCTTCCCTGGATCCAGGCATACTGACCGGTACTACCCATTAGCACCCACAGAAAGGATGAAGTGTTCCTGTTTCTTTAGATCCTGGAAAGTTTCATCATCCTTTTTTGAGGCTTCTTCCTCTATTTCAGTTGAATAGCATCTTCCTCCATACTCTCCTCTTCCTCCACTGTCCTCCTACACACACTCTTTTGGCAAAGTTGTCACCAAGATTACCTCTTCCAGTTATCTCCCACCCACTTCCCTCCTTACTCTCTCTCTCCGACACAAACGATAATTCTCTTGGCTGACAGGCAGCAGCCTAGCGCTAGTTTGTCCTATAATTATGCTGACTTCTTGCTTGAAAGCACTTTTCTCAACAGAACAGCTTTTCACGCACCTCTGTGGAATTCTTTGTTGCAGTGGTAGGAGGCAGACAGTGTGCTCTAAAAACACGCCAGCAGGTTGTGATTACGAAGACACGCAAGCGGGGTCCCTACGACACCGTGATCGCCAGGGAAGAGAGCCGTGGGGGGAAGGACTGGCTCGGGAGCAACAGGGAAGCTGTCCTGAGCCAGTAGCTCCCCACCAGCCCACCAGACAGTCAGTCCTTCTCCAAGCACTGGGAGGATAGGCCAAATTTTCAAAGTCCTGTTGACTTTGAGTAAGAGCTGGAGGTTTAGCTGAGATATCCTGTAAGCCCTAAGAAATTTGGTGATGGGAGATCTTTAAAACTACTTTTTTTTTAAGTCTCAGAACCAAGTCAAGAACTGGATTTGGTGCGTGGCTATGTTGGGGGAAGGATGCTTTTATTCTCCTGACATAACCTACATCTGCGCTGTTTCCAGTTCATTTGACGACACCCAAGTAAAGAACAAGCAATGCTATTATAGTGGAGGTCTGTGAATGTCTATGCCACTAAACAGGAAAGCTACTGAACTCCTGACATACTGACTGCCTTAAAAACAGTGAAATATTTTAGCAGGAAGTGTTCTGTATCTCCAGCATCTGCTCTGTCACCTCACAACATACCTTTAGGGTTCTGTGCACCTGAGTTATTGTAACTGAGCTATCTCACAGCAACAGCAGGTCCCTCCTGTCAGATCCCTGGGAAGACATGGAATGCAGGATTAGGACTTAAAAACCTTCCTACAATACTAGTTCAGAGATTCCAGCAAATAGGGTTGGTTATTTACATACATGATGTCATATCCATGTCTCACAGGGTTTGTAACTACAGTTGTGGAGTCTTTTGACACTGTTTTTGTAATTATTGTCCTGAATTTGCCGTCAGCTCAGTGGCCTTAATTTTTATCCTCAGAGACCAAAACTGAACACACGCAGCGAGCTTTATTTCTTTGAATGCAGCCACATAAACTTTTTTTTTTTAGCATGACTAGAATTTATCGCTATTACAAATAGTAAAACAGTAATCCAACTGGAGCTTCAAACCTGAAAAACTCCTTTAATTCATGTAGGTAAATTAGCACCACAGAGGAACATTCCCTCCGCTTTAATTCTAGATTGGATCCAAAAATTGACAAGGGGTTATAAATTTTCAAGTTTATCTGAATTAGAAGCTCCCGGGTCTTTTAAAAGATGCGCACAGGCATTTAAAGAAATATTTCTAAATGCATTTGTGCTTTAAAGAAGGAGAAATGAAAGTGCCAAACCCATCATTTGTCCCCAATTGCTTCCTCAAATCACAGCATGGATCCTGGAGTAACATCTCAGACTGTCTCTATTTTTTGATAATTACAAGGACTAGATGCAGATACACTGTGAATAGGAGGACTGCACATTTAGTACTGCATCACACGACCAAGAGCACACGGATTATACCAAGCAAGGCGGAGGTTCCTCAGCTCGTACGCTTGATGTATGCCTGAGCCTGTAACAGCCTAACTATAGAAATGTGCCTGTTACCTTCCCACTAGAATTTTTGCCAGAGATTTGGTTAACATTCAGCATGTACAAAAAAAATCCATTTTAGAATTCCATGCCCATGTAGGTGGGATGCAGGGATGACAGGTTTGTTTTGTTAGGTTGTTCTGGGGTTTGGTTTAGGGTTTTTTTGTTGTTGTTTTTAACTACTTCCTATTTATATGCCTACATCTAGGAGAAATATATTAAGTATGAATTCTTTTCCTACATAGTTCCAAATTCAGTTAATTACAAGCACAAGTAACGTTTGCATATCTAGATGGCTGATATTCTGACCATAAACCAGCAATTTAAATGCTGATGAAAATGAAACGAAGTAAGTTTACTTGCAACTGTAAGCACTACAGCGGAAAAAAACTGCAATAAATGTTTGATTGTAGTTGCTGGCCTTTCTCCTCTTATTAAAACTGTTCTTCTTTTTCCAAGAATATAAGGCTGTTTGTTTTACTATACTTGCTTAACGGAACCTGTGAATAGTTCCTCTTTTATTTTTATATATGCTGCTTTTTCATGGCAATTGATTTTTTCCAAGGCAAACTAAGTATTTCCACAGCCATTTGTTGTCAATACCAGCGTTACCAACCAAACTTTTCCTGCCTGTGACCTTCTCCTGGGAAGCTCCACCAAATTGCTTCCTCTTTAAAATGATTCCCACTTCTTGATGTACATCTGGAATACTTCAGATTTATTTGTAGTGAAATGAATCAGACAAAATACATCAGCATAAAATGAAAAGATTAACTGACAAGAAAAGCGTAACACAAAATGACACACTGTCTTCACTGTTATGATAACAGCTCCACAGGTATAATGCATCCTAGAAAAGAAAATCAGTACAGAAATGCTCCTAATGACATTCCTGAGCCACCCTGAATTAAGAGGACTTAATTCACCATTGCTGAGGTTCTAAAGACAGTTTAGAGGTTTGTAAGGCCTTGATATCAAAGGAAAAAATTTTTATTACTGATACACTTACTCTCATTTGGCAGCTATTATTTTCATGATACACAGAGGACTCAGTTAACATTAGATTTTACAGATGGAGAATGGAGGTGGAAGAACATACCTGGAGTCATGTGGGAACTTCCCTCTGAACTAGAAATTTAAGCACGTTTATTCAAATCAAGCATCTTTTGCTATAAATTATACTTCCTACCACTTCTCAATAACTGTCTAGCAAGGGCCTCTAGAAAAACATCCATGCTGCCTTCCAGATAGCATTACATTTTGCTTAGAGATACTCAGCCCAGTTTCAAACCAGCCAGTAGCGATACAGAAACCTCGTAATACAGAGTTCAGTATGAACGAAGTCCACTAAAAAGCACAAAATATGCACCACGCAGTACTTGCACAGCAGTTTTGCTATGCCATAGATAGCACCCCAGCTAACAAAAGCTTTCTTGACTATATATGTGTGAATTCACACCTTTGACCTGCCCTGTAAATCAGAGATTGCTAAACTGATCATGTAGACACATGTCGTGCAGTAGTAGTAAGATATATTATTGAGAAGCTCAGTAGAATTCTTTCTTCTGGGCATTTGATTATTAAACTTCACTCGATTCATTTGGATTCTGTCCACTCTGATGATTATCCTGCCTGAGTTTTATCGTCAGTTAAAAAAAAAATCTGAATCACTTTAAAGACTTTTTGAATACCCTTAGACCAGTCTTTGTTTCTTTCTGCCAATTGCACTTGTAGGCAGATTATTTCCAGTAGTGGCATGGGCCTTTCCGTTACCCTCCTACATGGGACCGCTGTTTTGAAACATTCTTTACTTGGGTGTCGAATAGAGCTAGTGTATGTCTGCTAATCAGTTAGGATTTGAGCACTTTTTGCTAAAAAGGGAGAGTTCCGCTCTTTGTATCAACAACAAACCAGTGAATAGCGAGTGGCCTGAACCTTGCAGACAAATAGCTGAACGCTCTGGTTACAGACAAAACCAGCATTTACATCGTCTGTCCTATTCACCCTCTTTACGTGGTAGAAGTTAGTGAGCCACGTGAGATGTCCTTGGTCAGGGTACAAGCTGAATGAAGAATTAGGAGTCCCATTTTCTCATTTAATTTTCAGTAAATAGCACTCATTCCTGATGGAATTAGTTGCTAAACAACACACTTAAAAATGCACAAACAACATCACAGGTAACTAAGGTCTATTCGATGGTTTGCAACGTGACACACGAAGGCAGGCTAAGGCTAGCTGGCCTCCAGAGCTGCTAAAGCATTTGACTCACCTCAAAACACGTGAGGACTTGCTAAACTGCCTTTTCCTCTCAGTCCGGTATTCTCCAGGGATGTATCCTCCTACCTGCTTTTCATTCTTAGCCATTTATTTTTCTTCTGGGTGGCAGCGGTGCCAACCCCAGCAGACTAGCTGGTGGCCAGCAGCAGTCAGGCATACTCTGTAGAATTTCTTAATTCTGATACTACTTTGGCAGAGAAACGTCCAATTTAGTATCTCTGCTTCTACGGTTCCTTCTTTCATCCGCCCCTCCACACTACTTATTTTCCCCTCTCAAATAATGAACACTACTCAAGGACAGAAGGACAAATATCCAAAGCACTGATTTGATACAGTAGCGATGTCATACTTCCATTTCTCTACAAAACACAGCAGCACCGTCGAAAGATAGTTTCTTATAATTGCTAGTGTAGCTGCTAGACCCTTTCAAGACAAACTGTGATGTAACTTCATAAAAGTGTCATTGATTTAGAAGTTTCTACAGATTTAAACACACCAGAAAGACTCTGGCCTACCTTTTCAACTGCACAAAGTCAAAAGGACTTTCATTTCTTTGAACTATACAGATTGCATCTTTTAAACATTTCCTTTCAACAAATTCCAGCATGCACACTCACAACATCCTCTGAAAATGAACCATAAAATCTATGTCTATATGCAAGCATGAGTACAAAAGAGATACTTAAGGTCTGGATGCAATTCCCATTACATGGCTGTGAGAATTTTTCCCTAACCCTAGTGAGCACTGAATCAGTCCTCTTAATTACCATATGAAGTGGGTGTTGGTATGGGTGTGAGAGCATATATAAACTTAAATAATACTTTTCTTGATCTCCCAGATAACTACATGCGGTTTATCATCTCTGATCTATTTGGGGTTGTGTTTTCTCTTTCTCTCTCCCCACCCCACCCCCTTTTATTTTTAATACCTATCTAGGATTCTTCCCCCCTCTTCTTCCACCTGTGTGTCTAGGATTGTTTAGAGTTGAGACTGAAATAAACCCATAGTAAATGTTAATGATTCTTCAGTTCATTATGCTTCTATGAGCTTTTAATGATTAATTTTCACATTATGATAATATTGCAATCAAGTCTCATGTAAAAATACAACATTTCAATATATTAGCCAAATACTATTCTGCAAGAAGTGCAGAAATATGGCACGTGGTCATTGCATTGGTTTCTCTTACAGCCCTCCAAATATATTCATCCCACTCATTATAAAATTTTTTAATTTTTAGCACTATAATCAGTACCTTTGAGTAGCGTCCTAAGGGCATCCTGCAGAGCTCAGGTCCAAAACATTAACTGCTTTTAAATATTTTTTTTAGCTTTTACTTTCATCCTGAATGCATTTTTCTTCACATGTCCATTCTGAGGTCTGTGATACCTTTGTGTTTCAAAAAAGAGGATATTCTCACTAGCAGATAAAAGTCCACGAAGTATCCTATTACTGTAGCTTTACAAATCTGAGTTTAAACAGGGGAAGAGCCACAGTGTTATTGAGGCTCCTCAAGCAGTCACACAGAAGGAGATAAATAATGCTCCTCTGCCAGCCTGCATTCAACTTTTCTGGTCTGCTTACTTTAAAGGGAGGACAGGTTTCTATTGTTAATATATTGACTTTGGTGCAGTATCATGGACCCTAGCACATACTACAGAGTACGTCAAAACACAAAACAATTTTTTCTATCAGGGATATAGGCCATCATTATTCTATTTGTAACTTTGGCTCAGATCATCTAATTGTAACTCTATTCCGACTGATCTCTGCAACTAGTGATAAGAGTTGCAGTTGCCTTAAGTCTACAGTCATCAATTTCTGACATGGATTCAAAAACAACTGAAGACATATTTCACTCAAATGTGGAAGATTTTGAGATTTGCTTTTGTTTGTTCCTTTAAGTTAAAAGAAGTTCTTCCAAAAACAAACCCAAAAAGAAAAGGTAGATGAACCAGGAGACTGAAGCTATATGGCACTCACCTACAGTATGAGAGATCCAGTCCAAGTCCCACTTCAGAGTTAAATCTGGACTTGATTCCAGCCCTTCATGGAAAAGTGACTTCCCAACTACTAGGCTAATAAGGCAAATTTCTATCTAAAACCCAACAAATATGTGCTTATGCAGAAAGGAACAGTCTTGACTAGGAAGAGAAAAAAAAATAGGATACAGGACACCTGCTCAAGTCACCACAGAAAAGAATTTGGCTCAGATATTTTACCTTGGAGGTGTGCTTGAACCTGGCATAGCTTTCTCCCTCTCCCACATACACAGAGATTAGATATTTTATCCTGAACCTTTCTGTCTAGAAGCGTTTTGTCAAACATCTTAGTGCTAAGAAAATAAAAACTCTAATTAGGAAAAAGATGCCTTAAACATCGTACTCAGCTTTAACATGCAAGAAACCATATAACACAGATTTAACATGTAACAAAAAGGGGAGGGAAAGGGAGCAGTGACCCCTTTTAAATAATGTAGAAACCTACAGCAGAAGTCAATAGCCCAAATGAAATTTTGACTGCTGAGCTTCAATCTCCCTTTTACATAACAATAAAGGTTTTTTAAGAAAATAGTTAGCCCATCAGCCAAGTCTTAAAAGGCGAGACACTTCTGGTTGGCACTGCTAAAATCTGACAGAGAAAAGGCAATTGCTGAATATCCTGCTGCCTTAGAGAATATCCAAAGTTAGTATATTTGGCATTCATAAGTCTTGTAGTCTTTGTAAAACAAAGCTCTCGCTGACTAGACCTGAGTACAATCAAGGCCCCTCCTCTAATAAATAGACCCTTAAAATTTGTTTCTTAGCACTGGAAATCTCACCTAATTGCAATCTTAGAAAGTGATTGCCATTAGCTCCTGATGCGACATGTATCACACCTACGTGAACCACCCGGTTTTCTCTTGCAAATTCATTGGAAATACTTGAGGGTATTACTTGAGCAAACACTGCAAACATTAACCTTCCCAGCTGCTTCTCCTAGGTGCGTTGAACCAGCGTGTCTTACACGACTGCTGTTCTGCTGAAAAGGAATGTTTTCCAGAAACAAGATTTCAGCACTTTTCCCAGAGAATTAATTACACAAAATGCCAATGAGTGACTAAGGAGGACACATGTATGTCTGTAAAAGCCTTAGTATGCAGCCCCAAAGAGGAGCCCTTAAAACTTACTGCTATTTTTAAGTCTGGGACCAGGCAAAAGCTCTGGTCTGGTCTATCAGGAACGCTACAATAACACCCACCCCACATCAGCAACATCTTGTATTTATAATAAGATTTTTTTCCCCTGAAGAATCAAGCTTCAGGCTGTCAGTCAAGCACCGTTACTCCTGTTTTACCAAAGGAAAGAGTTCTGAAATCCCAGAACCCACGTTCACACATGCAAAAGCATGGAGAACTGTCTTGGCATCTTCGAGCTGAACACACCCCCGCCTCCCTCAGAAGCCCCATCATCATCCTGGGTGTTCGTAAATTCTTCATTCTCAATCCCAGACAGACCGGAAGACAACAAAGGTTCAGACTTCAGTCTCTTGAGCATTCTCCCACTATGCAGGTTGCTTAGTTTTCAAAATCCACATCATAATTATGAAGTTATCACTTCATAAAAGTAGCCTGCAAAGCACATCACTATTGTGATTCTAGCTGTATTAATTTTCATATTAGAAAATCAGTTAAGAGCTGTTTTATCTACAAAAAGTACTTGCAAATGCATTATTTCATGAAAAAAAATCATACCTGTCCTACCCCTCAGAAATAGGAACACAATTTGATTTCCATCGATAGAGGTGGCTCTTCTGGAATTGTAGCTTCTTGTTATAGATTGACTAGAACTTTCCTCCACAGGGGATCTCTCAATTAGTTTGGCTACATATATTAAAATATAGCATACGAGGTGATATACACTAGCCCTTTAAGTACTACCAGTTACATGAACATTCTTCTTTCTTACAACAAAATTATTTGCTTCTTTTATCATGTGTACAAGTACACATACAAAATTGAGAGACAAAGTCATAACCCTGGTGACTGTATACTGGATTCCTACAGCTTAATTACAAGGGAGTAATCACATTTCTTGAGACAATGTAGGAGAGAAAATTTGCTTAGAGATGAGAAAATGCTGTGGAGGCCTATATTCCTTACCTATTCTCTCCTGAAAAATAAGTTAATTTCAGCCACTGTTTTCAAAGTAGGCTCAGAAGGAATCTATGGCAGGTACTTTTTTTTTTTTTTTTTAAAGAAAGAATACTATTTTGTAGTATTTTCTGATGCATGTGAAATTACAAGCTGATCTCATATGAGAGCAAAATTTGTCAGGGTAAGTAGAACCAGCCCCACTAATGCCCATATTCACAACGTACTGAATCTGCAACGTTGCTCTCTGCCTGGTATTAAATCAAAGGGAATTGTGATTGCAGACTGGAGAAGGAAATTGAGGCTCTGGAAAGAGAGGAAATGGAAGTCTCAGCTAAGGAAGAAGCAATTTTAAAGAAACTTAAGTCTGTTGAGAAAACAACAGAAGACATAATAAAGGTTGGTGCCAAATTACTCCAGAAGTAGAATTCATTACTCATTCATCATAATAACCGGGGAAAGGGGAACTAGCTGGATCCCCTGAGTGCTCATGAGCTTTTGTCTAAAGTGACAGTAGTTCAAATACAAGAGGGGTCAAGGTGTTACACTGTTCAAGTGCCCAAATGTCTCCATTTGCTGGCTTATGGGGGCAGGGGAGCAGTTCCTACCATTACTCACCCATAGCACGTCTCAAAAAAATAGCACTGCCACCAACCAGCAACTTTGCATCTCAGCCAGAGACAGACACAACAGGTACAGAGGCTGATGCATTCATACTCCCTCCCCCAAAGTCCCTGAGAGAGGTTATAGTGAAACATGACTCGATATTATCAGTCATTAGTCTTTGTCAAAAGGTCATTTTGAGATTTGAAAATCATCTTAAATGGTCTTGAAAATGCAGTGATGAAACAAAACTTCAGTTCTCCAGTTGGTCTTACACCCACTCACTCTCTCTAAAGATACAGAGGGAGACAAGCACAACTGGAAAGCCAAAGTAGAGCCTTTGAAAAATCTTTGAAGCCAACCAGCTTTGGCCACAGTGTGAGGCTGTGTCACTGATTAACACTTTGTGACGTCCCTGTCCTTCCCTGTGTGACTTGGAATCACAGTGGCAAAAAAGACCAGAAAAATTTCACTTTCCCCCTTGCCATGCTCCAAGTGAGCAGGTTCCACTTTCAGCCCCTTCTCACTATGAAGCCATGCACACAAAAAGTTAAAACTATCAGGTAGAGCAAAGCACTGTCTAGTTAACATCTTAAGACTGACTAATCACATTTATCATTAATGGTTCTCTTTCCTAGTCTGTGAAGACTGAAAAAACAGGAGTTGAAAAAGGTATGTTTAGCCAAAAAAAATATTTCTTAAAAGATTCTTGTAGAAGTCGGTGAAAACATACTAAACGCTTTACGGATCTTCTTTATTCAGAGGCAGCAGACTACATATACGCCAGCATACCTGACCTTCCCAAGTATTTCAGGCCTTCTGCACTGAAAAGTACAGCACATGCTGCCACCGATGATGAAGAAAAGAGAAAAGGTACTTCTCTACTTTACTCCTTATTAGTAACTCCAAAAGGTGTCCACATGTGCAAAGACTTGCTATACATTGAATCTAATACACTTTATAAGGGAAGGATAAACATTACAGATACAGGACAACATTGTTCTCACTTAAGCTTCATTGAGTTATCAGCGAGGTCAACAAAACTGAGAGGCAGGACACTGGTGTAAGGTACGTGCCATTGAGAATAAGGATCAAGCGTTTTCAACATTGACACTTCTTTCCAGCACTTTGTTCCTCTACCTGGCGTAACTTTAAGTAGTTCCTCCCTTCATATCATACATTTCACATTTTCTATCCGCACTTACACCTCCTGGGCAGCCAGCAGCTGCCTGGTTATTTCCCAATGACTACAAAGCCTCCTAACCCTTCTGAGGGCCCAAGGCTCTTTAGTCTTGTAGCATGCTGAGCTCTTTCAACTGCTATTGTCCAGCGCAACACCAGGGGCCAAGGCTAAATCTAGCTTTCTCAATCACGTAACAAAAACTGGCTCCTCAACAGCTTATTTTTCCTCACAGAATTAGATCCAAATGACATTTTTTCCCCACTTCAAGTTTTGACAGGATGGAAGGGGGCATTCAAAATGAGAATTCAATATATTGGTTATGTATGTGATAACTTCACGTATTTGATAATTCATCTGACAGTCATTCTCTATCACTCTCAGAACTCTTCTGTAATATTTCTTGCAGCTGCTGCATTATCAGTTTAAGCACTTGTTTCTTTCAACAGCATTGTTTGCCATGGAAATTAAAGTTGAAAAAGACATGAAGACAGGAGAAAACACAGTGTTATCAACAATACCTCTCCCCTCAAAGGAGTTTAAAGAAACAGGAATTAAAGTCTATGACGATGGCCGGAAGTCAGTCTACGCAGTGTTCTCAAATGGCAGCACAACACAAAACGGGGTGGATGAACTTGCTCCTGTTGAGGTGGAGGACCTGCTACGGCAAGCAACTGAAAAAAATTCCCAGTCTCCCACAGAGTATCATGAGCCTGTGTTTTCAAACAAATTTTGCAGGCCAGTTACTCCTCAGAAAGATAAATTAGTCCCTGGACCAAAACTGGAAGACACTCACAGAAGAGAGATGAATGGATTTAGCAATCATCAGACAGAGTTCTCCTCCAAAACGGAGCCCTTTATGCAGCAACGTAAAGAGAATGGGCTTGATCTTCCAAAGGCAATACAGCCAAAGTCTCCCTCTCCAGTACTTTCCCATTCAGAGAAGGAAGTGCACTCTAATCCTGAGAACAGGATGACAAATAACGAAGAAAGAAAAACTTCACGTGAGCAATTAAAACTTCACCAGAATACAAGAGAAAGACATAATGAGACAAGGCTTTTAAGTCCCTGCCATCTCAATGAAAAAAACCCTGCACCTCAAGATGAGGAAGATGTTCAATACAGCGTTGTCCAAGCTGTACCATGTTATGTGGATGATTCGGAACCTGTAACAATGATTTTCATGGGTTATCAGCGCATTGATGATGACGATGCAGAAGCAGACCAAAAGTTGTCACGATACGATGGGGTTATCCGCGCAGAATTAGTCATCATTGATGATGATGATGATGAAGACGACAGCAAATCTGAGAAGCCAGCATATCATCCCATAGGCCACTACAGTCAGGTTTATCAGCCACCGAGCAGGAAAATCACAGAGGTCCCACAGACGAACCCTGCGAGCAGTCTGGGCGCGAGCCTGAACAAGGTACCCCACAAAAATTCCATCTCCCTGCAAGAACAAGAGGAACGCTTAAGCTCACCGACACACCGTGCTCATCTTCAAGGCCAGGTATCTGGAGATGGTACCGAAGATCCCTCGCTAACAGGTAACAGAAAAGGAAAATCATGTCACTGCTGTTTGCTCATGTAGCAAACTGATACTACTCTTATCGGCTAGCAACTGCTCCACGTTACTCTTTGGATTGTTTCATGGACTAATATGCAATTACTAATCACTTCTTTCCTCTTGTTTGTTAACAAATGCCAATCTGCATTTTGGTACTGTTGAATTATTTCATTTTTAGCAATGCACTAGTTACCATATCAAAGTCTGGAAAATAAACTATCGCAGAAAAGCCATTTCTGTAAACCTCAGAGATTGAAAGTGGTTCTCTTCCAAGCGACAATTAAAAGCTCCATTAACGCTACCTCAATTAGCAGAATTAGCTTTCATTTCTACCAGGTAACTAACAGCATTGCTTCTTAACACTGTCTCCTCACTGGAATGTTTTTGTGCCTATCTGCATTCTAACTACTTCCTTGATAATCCAAATTGCTCTTTAAATCAGAAAGACTGTTTAATAACCAGCTTTACTTTGCATTTTTCTGGAATTGGCATTGCCAACCTTGCCTTGACAATGTTTATGCAAGTTTTGCCATTTTTTGGTTATCCTGAGTTACATATTTTTATAGCTTCTGAAAGACAATGAAACAGTTCTTATCACTACATGTGGTTAGTCCATATAGTCCATAGTGCTATTTTTTAACACTTTTTATACTCAAGGTGTCTATTTCTTACTATAAAGTTTTATAATAAAAGGTTGAGAGAACAAGATCTTCCAGAAGCATGGAAAGCTCTTCTTTATGATTTTGTTGCACTTTAAGGCATAAAACTAAACTGCATTCAAGTATATGTACAGAGCAGATTTCAGACAGCAGTCACATTCCACTTCAAGGAAAGAACTCTGTGCTTGAGTTAGAGGAAGATCAGGGGTCCTGATCCCATATTGTCTCCTTGCTCCTCTTCCAGACTATATTCTGAATAATTTTGCAATTTGGCAGCAAAAGGGTGAGTTTGGGCCCTACCTAAAGCTGCACTGACAGCCCAGCATTTCTTTACAGTACAGGTAAAGCCAGGAGAGGGTGGTCATTGGATCACATAAGGAGTTTCAGGTATTTTTGCATCAGTATGCACTGATTGGGAAGAGCTGTTCAGTACGTAATGCTCTCAGTTTATAGGATTACCAACCTTGTGCAGTCATGCACACAACAGCCTGAAATATTCATAGAATCATAGAATCATTTAGGTTGGAAAAGCCCTTTAAGATCACCCAGTCCAACCATTAACCTACACTACCAAGTCCACCACTAAACCAATTCAGGGGAGAGTAGCAATTTCATGTTTCCTGGCTTGGTGGCTGGATTAGTTTTCAATGAAAGTAAAAACTAGGAACCATTAAGGTTGGAAAGGATCTTTAAGATCGTCAGTCCATATTCCAGCAGTGCTGCCCAGCCTTTCTGATGAAAGAGGCCACTGCACGTTTCTATCGCTTGAGAGGACCTTTGAGTCTCTCAGGCACCAATCCTGCCATCTGTGCGCTTCCCTGCGTCCTCCAGGACCAAAGGCTGCTGCCAGCACCTCTTGCGCCAGCAACTAAAAGCCGAAGTAGTTGATACAGGCAAGATAAACCACTCCAGCAACTGCTCCAGCCCCTTCTATTTTGGGGATAGTCCCTTAATTCCCCCATCATATATGTATATGCATATAATGGAGAAGTGACCCTCACCCATCCGCCCGCCCACCCACCCACTGGTTGCTACCGAAACAAGTCATTCATCCCACAGCCTGCTGCGTGGGTGCTCCTGAACGGACCCTGGAAAAGAGGTTTCCGAGAAGTAACTATGAGCTGGCCGCACCTTTTGGGTGGGCCGTATACAGGCCATGAGATGTTAGCTGAGCACCTCTATCTGTAACAATCTTTCCTTATTTTTGCCTCCTGAAAGAAGCATCTGAAACTTCTTCATTTTTCCCTGCCACTCATAGACGCTCTCCAACAATCTGGGTTCTCTCTCTTTTGAGGTTAGTGGAAAACAAACACTGATTTTCAGGGAAGAGGGCAAGTGTAAATGAAGCAAAGACACTTGAGAATCTGTTCCATTAACCTGTATTTGATCTTACCCGTTCACTTACAAGTATTCTGCCAAGGAGAAAACAGCCAATTAGGAAAAAACTGGTCCCAATTAAATTAAAAGCAGTTTAGCAACTGCCTCAAGAATACACCCCAACAGTCAGCACTGCCTCCGAGTGAGTGTCTTAAGTGCCCAGTAGAATTTGGAACTAAGCCATATTCTTTTTTACCCCTCCACCTATTTATTGCCGCTCCCTGAGACATTTTGATCAGTGGAAAAAGCCAGGAAGTGACTCAATTTTTCCCAAGTAGTCCTGTAATCCTACTGTGACTTCTAAAAAGGAAACAAAACCAGGAAAGCCTCTTAAATCTAGAACAATGTATTACACAGAGCTGTTTTAGGGAAATAAATCATTTTCAAAGCAGTCACTGATGCCCAGCCTAGCAGGTTCACCCTAAACACCACCAGTGAAAAGAAGGGAGTCAAAATTAGTTCGTTACTAAAACAACAAACCATACAACAGAAAAAATAATCCTCTCCAAAATGAAAGCTTTGGGAGGCAGTTGCAGCATTTGAACATTGAACAGGCACTGAGGACTCGCTGAAAGAGAACAGAAAGCAAGGAAGCACGGGACAGATGAGGGAGCGGGTCCCGTATGTAACAGTCTTGCTTTGGGAAAGAAATGAACCTTCAGAGCAAGTTACTGAAGAAGTCAGTGATGGCCAAGGACAACTAGGAGGCAGAGGAATTGTTCCATGTGTCAATCTATACAGAGAAATATCAGATTAAATTAGGAGCTTTTAGCATGCCCCCAAACTGACAGAAATGTAGGACATACCTCTTTCCATATGGGAGCAATTTTCCTTTCCCCATGAGCTTGGTGGGGGACCAATATCTCAAAGTATGTGCCCTCAGAAAAACCATACAGAGAGAAGGATGACAATGCTATAATTAGGAAACCAGTGTTTTGCATTATTAGAGCTTATTTTCTGCTTTAAATTTCAGTCAAATGAATTAGTGTGCAAGCGTTTCGAAGACTCAATACTCACCAGGGAAATTACAAGTCCTTGTGGGGGAAAAAAGGCTAAACATAGTGGAAGGAATAAGGAAAGGAAAAACCAAAGCTGAATAGGCAGTAAAACCTACTGACAGTTTGGAACAGGCTCTCATGGGGCACGAAGGTCCAAGGCTTTTGGCAGGTAGCTAGCCTCGATGAGCTAATTTTTTTCCTTACCACTGGAAGCTGTGCAACCTTCAAGAAACACAACAGACACCTAGCTCCATTTGCATTGAAGAAAGTAACGTACAACAAAGCTTTTTAATAGAGAAAGATTCATGCACGCTATCTGCTTCTGTAACGCATAGAGCAAGACAAAACCAGACTGATGGCTGTAAGTGAAGCATCAGACTGATTGTTCTCTCAAACCACAACCAGGACTCGAATACTTCAGAATTCCTCGGCCTGCAAACAGTTCGCAGGGTCTTCGTAAGAGCTAAGCTTAACATCAGTGGCCCTAGGATATAAAGTTACGCTCAGATGCTTCTATGATTTGCAACAACTTCAGCATTCAAAACATACCTGGAGTTGGACATTTGCTGACACGCATAAATCAAGTAAACAGCTGCTTTGACCCTCTGCCTCTCAGTACAGAGATATATGCAGGATGAAGGAACGAGACACGCTATTTTGGGTGACTCGTCAAACTAACAGGTCAGAGGGCTGGAGATTATTCCCACTGCATTCTCAGATCAACTACGTGGCAGGGGGGGGAGGCTCTTACATATCAAACAGCAGCATTATATTGCTCTTCTAAAAATAACCTTAACATTTAATCATCTGCCCTGCACTGCTGCTTTCAAATGAACCCACATTATACCCAGTTACAGATAATAGCCATACTGATGTTTATACAGATACTAAGTTAATCCATCAGCCTCAAATCAGGAATATGACTAACTCCCACTCTGACTCGCCACACCAGGAAAGTTTTCTGTGAGCATCAACACAAAAGAAAAAGGCTTCCAAACAGTTACGGCTCCCACTGAGGAGTTTAGTTTAAACAAAGAGTTTGTTTAATTTTTCATGCATCCTTTTAATCTGTCAGCATCTAGCCAAGGACAATACCATCTGTCTGCAACACGTTAGTGAAGGTAACAGAAATAATGCAGCTAGAAGAGAGCCGTGCTCATTTTCAAATAGTGATAATGGAGTAATTTCTTAATATACTCGCTTTATTGCAAAATTACCAGAACTAATGCCTTCTACTGATTTCTTTTTATAACACTAAAACAATGCTTATTCTGCTGGATTAACCACCGGAGGTACGTGTATTCTTCATTTATCTAAATGAGATTTAGCAACAGAAGTAGGAAGTTACTCTTGAAACGCAATGGCTTTGTTTGTTTTCTTTTTTCAGCTCTAAGGATGAGAATGGCCAAGCTGGGGAAAAAGGTGATTTAGCAGCTGTAATGACATGGAAGTAAAATGTACTACCCAAAGCAGAATAAAGCTAAGAAGAGTTTCTTCAAGACGCCTTTTCTGGATCATAATGCTTGTCTTGCTCCTCTGTTTTGTGCATCTGGGTTACTTTGCCCTCTGCATAATCCCATGGACTTCAACAGACTTTTAGATTTGACCAACTGCCCCATACACACAGATCACATCCTGGATTTTGCTGAAAGTAGTGGAAAGTTACCCGAGACCATAAATACAGTGTATATCCAAGTATGAAGACATGTGCGTACCTGTTCCCACAATTGGGAAACGCATTGTTGCTATATACACAGAGCAGATAAACACCCATCTCCACGGAACTTCACAGGACACTGTTCCACTTCAAAGTGTGCCAATCTACCCAATTTTGATTGAAAATGCCGTCCCAGCATTTTTCTGGTAAAAGCATTAGTTAATAAAAAACTAAGCATGAGAGATAGGAGCAGGAAGAAATGTAAATATAAAAGGTGGTTTCCAAGCATACCACCTTGGCCAGAATTTAAAGCATTCCTTTTTAAGCAACAGCAAAACAAACCAAAACCAGTAAAGTCAGCATTTAAGTATTTAGCCACCTTCTAGAGCTTCACAGTCCACCCACCCTCCTATTTTACGTATGACAGCATAGCCATCCTCAGACCCTGCTCCCTTCCCCGTGCCACGTACACACTGCCCACCCACAACCTCATGGTCCCATCCCGTGCACAGCCTGACCTCCCAAGCAAGGTTTCACCTCCTGCCTTGCTCAGGAAGCCCCGCTTTTCCAGGAAACTGGTTGCCACACAGGCAGTGCCTGTCCATCAAAAAAAAAAAAAAAAAAAAAAAACCACCCAAATACTGCTTAGTGTACAGGTTTCAGCTGGCTAGGGAGCTAAAATTAGTGCAAGCCTCCCACCAGAAATACTGAGTTGCCAGTGGCTCGTCCCACAGCTGCAACAGGAGCTCTGTTATAGGTGCAGCCACTGCCGGGCACAGCTCTCCAGCAAGGCCCAAGGCTCCCACCAAGGAACAGGTTCATTCTTTCCACATGATGCGAGGAGCTAAGGGCCCTTAAAGCAGCCATAAGGTACAATTACACCTAGAAAAATCACATGCAAGTCCGATTTTTCCAGTACATAGTTCCAAAACTATCCATAGTTCTGGAAAAAAGTGCCTCATAGCACTACATCCTTATATTCAAATCAGTACGATAGCTGTACTTTGCTAGGTCTTAGCCTGGTTTGAATCACTAAACAGGAAAAGCTCAGGTTGTGTTATTCGAGTATAGCTGACTCAAATTGTACACCAGCAAAAAAACAACCGTAACTTTTTTGCTGGTCTTCCTCGTTTCAAAGCAAGAAACTGAAGCTACTACCTCATACTGAGGCACGACGGTAGTGATCAGCTGACTTGTAGCCTCTAAACACTTGGTGGCTCCCAGTCTGAAGTAGGTAATAAACTCAAATTTTAGGACTTGTCGGATGATTACCTGGAGAGTGGAATAGCAGATAAGAACAAATAAATTTAACTATATTACACTTTCTCCATGTCTCTCCTTGGTTTTTTGTTTCTTTTTTTATAGTGGTTTTCTTTCCCTTATGTTTCTTCTGCTATTTTTTGGTTCTGAGAGCAGCAGAGGGAGTTACCTTCAACTTTTTTTTTTCCCCTTACACCTTTTCAAAGGTTCTTACTAAGATACACCAAAAATGAGAGAGTAGAAGAGTAATATGAAGTATGATAGGTATATATAGATATGAAATATCTGGGTATAGGTAGATATAGGTATAGATAGATATGAAGTATGATAGTAAGGAGAGTGATATGAAGTCACGAGCAGTTTTTGCAATAGCGGCAGATTGCTATGGACACTCATCCCCTGCCTTCCCCAGTAATGTGTGCTTTTAAACTTAAATGATCTGGAAAAGAGGGCAAAAATGCTGCTGCCAACATAATATTCAAAGTAGTTTAAAAGAAAGGAGACTGAAGAGACACTTCACAACAGTGAATGTATAGTAAATCTACAGGTGAAATTCACTACTGATACATGGAAAAGTAATGTAGAAAAATAGGAATAACCCTAAGCACACACAGCACAAGAAGTAGCTGTTAAGTTGGTGTTACGCACCTCTTGGCTAGAAAGCAAAACGCCTCATTATTATTTTAGAGTCCTCTGAAAATATCAACTCCACGCTCAGAAGCCATGAAAACAAAGAGAGCTTTAGGACTCATTAGGGAAGGCATGGAAAACAAATCAAAACACAACTGTGGCACAGCACTTCATATTTACAACTTGAGTAGAGTTTGGTCACGCCAACTCTGAAGAGACAAATAGAGAAGGGTAACAAAGATTAGCAGAAGCGCGAAATGGCTAAATACAGCAGCAGTCATACCAGGAAAAAGGCAGTAAAGCACAGATATGAGAGGCCTAGAGAACTGCGATAAAGGCAGGAAGGTAAAAACAAAAATACAGGTCATTAACCGATGGCGTCAAGAAGCAGGCTTAAAACAAAAACAAGAAGCACTTTCTCAGTGACTAATTAAATGGGAGGGCAAAAGCATTAACAGGTTGTGGTTGGGATTTTTGGGGGGTTTTTGGTTTGGGGTTTTTTTCTTTTTTAAATGGTTCATTGCACACTTTGTAGATAAAATTTAATCACTACAAAAGTTCATGGTCCAGCTGCAGTTTCTAGCTCAGGACATCCTTGCACAGATTCTGGCAAGGAGATCTTGCTGGAAAGAGAAAATATCACTGCAGTCTCGTTACGCCTCTTGCTCTAAGCACTCACTACTACCACTTCTGGAGACAATACTGGGCTCAGTAGGTCTCTGCTTTGCCATGTGGCAATTCTGGTGTCGCATATATCAAAACTATTCCGTTTGTGCCGGATGAATCTGAACTGTCCCACACTAATACACTAGCTCCGTAGCAGCATGGATATCCGATCATTAATTTGGAGGAACAGAGACACAAAATGGAGCATTCAAGGGTTGTGTGCTTCTGGAAAGCAGGGATGTTCCTCACCTAAGTGCTAGAGCCCAGAGCTTTCCCACATCCCAAGATCAGCAAGAACAGAATTACAAGAAGGCAAATCATCTTTTTCATGTGTCAGTACGGATGCCATGCAAAATTCCAATTCATCATTAAAGCTGAACGATTTCTAAGGTCCAGCAATACAAAAGCCTCTCTGAAACAAAGCCAAAGCCGGCGTCCCTCCTGGTGCGGTCTCATTTGTCCAGGATGACTATCATGGATAGCTGGTTCAGCGTGACACAGATGCTCAGCTTTAGTTTGCAATGCGTAAAGTCACTTTCACACAGCACGAGGAAGACCCACAGAAGCTATGCAGTGGTTGAATTAGCTCATGCATGAGCTAAAGCAGATGGTATCAAGCGCGCTCTGAAGCGCTCGTCCTGCGCCGACTCTGCTGTGCCACTGCTCCAGGTGAGCAAGTGCAACAGCTCCCCTTCACACACGCCTTGGAGAAGCCGGGATCAGACTGATGTGAGCAAAGGATTCCTCAGAATTACTAGCAGATCATCCCTCTTAACTACCCTTCTGTTCACTTCGAGTCCTTCTTACTTCAGCCGGCACTGATGGTCTAAAATCAGTGAGATATTAACATCTTCATTGAAATGCAGACGATTGCAGTTTTTCCTCGACGACTGCATTTCATCTTAAGTTGTTTGGGAAGGGATGTACCCAGGCAGAGCACAGTTTATACACATGACAAAAGAAAAACAGTCCATAACAGTTCAAACAAGAGCTGAAGCACAGACATCAAGTAAACACCCATTTCATAAAGTCTACCTGTGTGAACTGGCTTGCATTTAAAGATCGAATTTCTTAATAAAGATTGAGAATTTTTTTTTTGACTAGTTCATCTAGGAACACTTCCTGTTTCGCACATCCTTTACATGTCCCGACCTCCCACTGACAGGTTACAGCAAGCAAGCAACATAAAAATGCTGTTATTTGGACAAGAGCGCCGCGCAGTGTTACAAACCGCGGTGGCAAACGAAAGGCAGGCAACCTCTCCCCAGCCTTCCCAAAACTGGGTAAAGGGAAAACATGGGCATTATTACACCGAATATGAGGTCCCCCCCCCCATCTTGTGGGTTTTTGACAAAACAGAAAACAGTGTAGCATTTGGCATAAGCAAGAGAAACAAAAACACACCTTCTCTTAGTTCATTCCGCAGCCTGCATGTCGGCTAGCAAAAAAATTGTTTCAAGTAAAGCAAAGTAGCAGTGAATTCCGTTGCATTTGAGCTATTTGCCCTCTGCTGGTTTCATTCAAAACATATGCAAGAAACGTGATTTGCAGTTAACTCAAGAGCAGATGACCAGTATTTGGAAGCTGCACCTTAAAACTCACTCAAACCAGTAAACTACTTGTTGTGAGACTGATCACAAGTTTCTACTTGACTGGGAGTGTTTGCCTGTCTAGAAGAACACAAAAAGAAATATGCTAATGCTGATTTGTCATCGCAAGTTTAATCTGAGAGCAAGAGAGAACACTGAAACCTTCTCGATCTCTTCTTGTGAAGAAGTTTTCTTGACTTCAGTGGGATTCTTTTATGAAGCAAAGCAATGGGAATTTTCTTCTATACAATATTTTATCATTCAAGAGAAATATATACACAGCAGCCACCAGCGTCTCTAGAACCAAGCTGTCTGTCA